ATGCTCACGATGATTAAGTGTAGTTACCTTTTGTCCCCTGTTGAAAAGAAAACCACAGATCCAAAATGTCACTTGGGTCGGGCCAAGTCACCAAACCCAATTGCAGTTTGTTTGTTTGTTTCTTTTTTTTTTTTTTTTAAAGATTAATTTATTTTTCAGAGCGAGAGAGAGAGAGAGAGAGAGCACAAGCAGGGGGAGCAGCAGGCAGAGGGAGAAGCAGGCCCCCACTGAGCAAGGAGCTCAATGTGGGACTCATCCTAGGACCCTGGGATCCTGACCTGAGCTGAAGGTAGATGCTTAGCCAGTCAGGTGTCCCCCAGCTGCAGTTTCAATATCCCCCAGAAATGTAGTTTTAACTGGTCAGTCAGGGATTTTCTGAGCAGTGTTCATGAGGTAATGTGTCACATGGACTCTCTTCCATTCCTTACAGAAAGATGAAGTAATCCTCATAATAAGACCCTCTGCCATTCCCCGGAAGGGAGGATGATCTTGCCTAAAATAATCCTTTCTTTTATTTTGCTTACAACTTTCTTCCCACCCTCCTTCCTGTAAATACCTTCCATTTTGTCTGACACCTTGGACCTCCCCTCTACTTGGTAGGTAGGATGCTGCCAGATGCATGAATCCTTTAATAAGGTCAATTAAATCTTCAAATTTACTCTTGAATTTTGTCTTTTTAACAGGCCATATTATTACAATATTATTGACTATATTCCCTATGCTGTGCTTTTCATCCCCATGACTTATTTATTTTATAACTGGAAGCTGAACCTCTTAATCCCCTTCACCTGTTTCTCCCATCCCTTCTGGCTACTCCCAGTTTTTCTTTGTATTTATGAGTCTGTTTCTGATTTTTTTTTTCCCAGTGCCCTTGATCTTGTCATTACCTCTGCTTGTAATGTTACCTCTTTCCTCCCCTCCCCCAGCAGTTTGATCAAGTAATACCATTAACATTCATAAATCAGTTTAAATCTAATGTGTTTCTCTGTAACTTTTCCAAATGCCTTCACTTTTGTCCTTTTCCTGTAGCTGGCAGCCCTCATTCCCTTCCTCCTCTAGCAAAAACCATTCTATTCTTTTTCATTGAGGTTCCCACGATCATATTAGAGCTGCACACATTGCATTGTTGGCATTTGTCTGTATACCAATGTCTTCCACCTTGAACTCCACGAAATCAGGGAACAGGTCTGCTTTTTTGTTCCGTTTTTTAAATTTATTGAAAGAGCTACTTCATTTTTCCCTCCCAGTCATCTCCCTATTGTCTTCCTCCCCTTACAACTGCCCTGGTGTTCTTGTAAGCACTATTCCAAGGAGTTTAGTTTTCCTAATGGGTGTGGATGATTGGGAACATTTAAATTTCAGCCATGACTAGAAGAGGTAATGAAGAGATTCATAATTGTTAATGGATCTTCCGCTAAAGGTTGGTTTCACGCTTTTCAAAATGACACAGAAGCTGCTATTTGTCCTTACAGAATATGTCCTGGCTTCTTAGAGACCTGTTGGGTGAAGATTATTTCTCTTCAGGATGAAGATCTTGCCAAGATGTTGTATCCATGTCCCTGCTAGTATTACCTACTGTTCCAGAAACCTGGGAAGTGTCTTGGGCTACAGCTAAATGTCATTAATTTTAGGTGCTATAAATCTATTGTTAGTGATGAATTTAGGTTCACATCCACCTTTGTTTAGCAATTGTCTCCCTGTGCTACATTTTGGATGAATATTTAAAATACTTAAGATAATAATTTGCCTTTCAGCACCTTGGAACATTACAGTCATTGACAATTGATGAAAGTGATTTTTTTTTTTTAAAGATTTTATTTATTTGACAGAGAGAGATCACAAGTAGAGAGAGAAATCACAAGTAGAGAGAGAGAGAGAGAGAGAGAGCAGGCTCCCTGCCTAGCAGAGAGCCCGATGTGGGACTCGATCCCAGAACCCTGAGATCAGGACCTGAGCTGAAGGCAGAGGCTTAACCCACTGAGCCACCCAGGCAGCCCTGATGAAAGTGATTTTAACACATTACCTTCTTTACTCACCACAGTATCACTTCAGGATGAACTCTGGCTAAGCCAGAATTAAATGGGCAATTGAGAGTAATAAATTCTATAATTCAGACCTTTACTACATTGTTTTTCTAGTAGTTGGGATCAAGTGAAGAGTAGAAAAAGTGCATGGCAACACAGAAGTCACTCAAAAAATAATTGTGAATTAAATAAACTAAGGGCTTATTTTTAATTTTTTTTTTAAATTTTTTGCAAGATGGATGAAGAGAAACTCATTTTCTAGCATGGTTTCCTGAGTGTGTATATGTATATATATATGTTGTTTTTTTTTAAAGATTTTATTTATTGAGAGGGGGGAGGGGCAAAGGGAGAGAGAGAGATATCCAAGTAGATTCTACACTCACCACAGAGCTGAGTGGGGCTTGATCTCACAACCCTGAGATCATGACCTGAGTTGAAATCAAAAGTTAGTGGCTTAACCAATGAAGCCATCCAGGAGCCCCTCCTGAGTGAATATTGTTAAGCCCTTCTTGAAGTTGACTACTTAGCTCTTTCGACTCTGGCTCCAAGGGTCATGGCTCCTACTTTGTTCCTGTTACTACTTTTGGTCACATCCTCAGCTGTCACCCAGAATGCTCTTAGGTCTTAAAGGATGTTCCCTTGTGCCCCCACTTCATTCAATTAACCCAAGTAGAGCTTACAAGGGCCAAGGACTCTTCTGGGTGTACTAGGAATTTAACAACAAACAAAGCAGGCGCACCCCCCCCATCACTGCTTGAATGAAGCATACATAAAACTATGCTAATGTATGTGTACAGACAATAAACATGATAAAGCATAACATATATAAAATGTTATAAGAGGGTAAGTGCTGTACAGAAAAATAAGGCAGAGAAAGGGAATGGAGGGTGTTCTGTGTACACTAATTACAGTTAATGGCTACGTTGTAAGAGAATCCAGAACAAATTCTTCAATATAAATCATATTCATCTTAGAGAGTGATGGTATGGGTACAAGTGATGGATGCCTTCAACAACTTTATAAGGTGCTTTTTTTTTTTTTTTTAAATTCCAGGTCCCTTCTTTCTCCATATTCGTTTCCTTTTCATTCTTGTTTCATCTTTTCTTCCCTTCTTCTTATTGTTGTTCAACTATCTTTAATGAGGCATTGGAATGGTGCAACAGAAAGAGCAGATTTACTAACTAGGACCTAAAGCCACTTATCTCTATGAGCCTCAGTTTCCTCATCCATAAAGTGGGGATAATAAAAACATATTTTGTAGTGTTGTGAGGATTAAAGATGAAGCATGTTTGCAAAACATCACAGTCTCTAATTGCAGGCCTCTTTAAGTGGTAGCTATTATTTTTTTTTTTTTTTTTTTTTTTTTAAAGATTTTGTTTATTTATCTGTCAGAGAGAGAGAGAGCAAGTACAGGCAGACAGAGTGGCAGGCAGAGGCAGAGGGAGAAGCAGGCTCCCTGCCGAGCAAGGAGCCCGATGCGGGACTCGATCCCAGGACGCTGGGATCATGACCTGAGCCGAAGGCAGCTGCTTAACCAACTGAGCCACCCAGGCGTCCCTAAGTGGTAGCTATTATTAAAAGCACATCTGCTCTTATCCAAGTAAGTGGATCTATGTGTGCTAGCCTCAAAGTAACTCTCTGGGAAGTTGAGAACAAAAGGGTACTAGGACCCAAACCAGGAACGAGTCTTGCAGCATCCTTAATTTTCTGACAAAGGGCTTTGCTAATATCCTATTGGAGATGGATAAGACATGTGCTCTGAACCCTCTGTAACATAAAGTCTCCCTCCAAAGCACCCATGAAGCTCTTATTAGCTAACTTTCTTATCTTTTAAAAATACACATGATAGCTCGGCGAGGAGCCTGCTTCCTCCTCCTCTCTCTCTCTCTGCCTACTTGTGATCTCTGTCAAATAAATAAATAAAATCTTTAAAAAATATATACACGATAACCCTGTTATCAACAATGCCCATAATAAGCATGCTGTGGGTTACGCAGGTTTGCGGATAAAAAGGCACTGAGCCCTTCCGTGACCGTCGGTGGCAGGTCCCATCATCATTCCCAGTTGGAGCTGTAGATACTTGAGAGCTGCGCTCCAGGTGTGGATATGTGGGGGTGGACTCAAGAGTGTGGGAGCCGCCGTGATGCCGGGTCAAAGGGACAAGCACACGAGGATACCTCGTCAGGAGGACTCCCTGTTTCAGAGGCCCGGAGCTGGGGTTCACACCTCCTGAACTGAGAGGGGAAAAAAAACACCTTGCAGGAGTCCTGAAGACCCGTTAGTTCCTTTGGGGTTCCTGTGAGCGTCCTTCAAAAGGGTGGCGTCCTCCCATCTTCCTGCTACTCTAAAGAACGTGGTTAGGAGGTAGGTGCGGTAGTAAACTCCACCGCACTTGGAAGCTTCAGGAGAACCTTCCACCCGAAAAACGAGTTAGACACTCTGTTTCAGTAAAGATTTTACAGAGAGGGGCGGAGCCTCGTGAGGAGGTGGCGGGGGGCGGGTGCACGCAGACCTCTGCGAGCCGCCGATTGGCTGGAACAAATGCCCGTCCCGCTTCCCTCCCTCCCCGTGTCCGGTGGCCTGCCGGCAGGACCCGCGGGCGCGCGGAGCAGGGTGGCGGTGCCAAACTGGCAGGGGGCGTGACGAGGGAGGCGGGGAGGGGGCGTGCTGGGGCGGGGCCCGGGCGCCGCGCGCGTCACGGCCTGCGGCCCCGCCCCCGGGCCCTACGCGGGTTACTCCTCCTCCCCCGCCTAGACCTCCCGCTCGCTCAGTTCTCGCTCCACGTTCCACGCCGCGGCCTCGCTCCCCCGCGAGAACCAGCGCTGCGGCTGCCGCGCGCACACGCTGCCCCGCGTCTGCCGCGCACGGCTCTCCCCACGCGCGCGCCTCGCTCACGGACGCACGTTCGTTTTCCCTCGCGCGCCCGGGCCGCGGCGGCGGCGGCGGCGGCGGCGGCGGGCGGACCGCGCGGGGCAGCTCGGTAGCGGCCGCCGCGGGCTGGCCGGCGGGCCATGGAGGCGGATGGGGCCGGCGAGCAGATGAGACCGCTACTCACCCGGGTAACGAACAGGGTGAGGGCGCCGCGGGCGGCGGGATTCCTCGGCGGGAGTTGGGGGGGGGCGCGGAATGAGGCAGACAAAGGCGGGGGCGCGGCGGGCGTCGCGGTCCGGCCACTCCGTCCCGGGCCCGGAGCCCCTCCGCTGCCCCGCAGCCGGCGCGCCTCGCCATCCCCTTTGTGTGGCCGCCCAGGGCGCGGGTGCGAGGGGGCGGCGGCGGCGGCGGCGCCCTGGAGGCCCGAGTGGGGGCAGCCGGCAGCGCGCCGCGGGCATCCTCGAGACCCGCATCCTCGCTGTGGCTCCGGCCCCGAGGGGCCGTCTGTCCGCCCTTGACCCCGACCAGCTCTTCCTTTCTCCCCTCAGCGCTCACCTCCCTTACTCCCGGGCGTTCTTCCTGGCCGGGGTCTTCGTTCCGGCTACCTTGGCGCTGGAGTTCAGATTAGCCCATCGAAAACCCATCTTCTTTCTCCCTCTGAGCGCGGCTCCACCTGTTTCTAGCCTCAGGCAGTGGTGAAGAGTTGGGGTGAATCTTTTCCCTTCTTTCGCTTCTCCCTGCCGGGTCCGCGTGGTATGCTTTGTTCGGTGAGTTCTCCGGCCGCGTGGACGAGCTGCCTTCGCGGCCAAGGCTGCTTTTCGCTGCTGACTCTGCCTGGTCCGCCTCCTCCTCTTTTGGCGAGAACCAGGGGAGTATCCTCCTGCCGCAGGCCAAGTAGAAAGAGGAAAGTGTCTTGAGCCCTCTGAGCTGCTCCTTCTTTCATCAGCCTAGCAAAATCTCGTATCCCGGTGGCTTTGGCTTCAGGATTCAAGGAGGGGGTTGCGGGGGGAGGCTTTTAGAAGGCCAGCGTTCCCGTTTAGGATGCTGGACCGGCGGCCCATGCTCGAGAAACTGACTTCCTGCTTTCATTAGAATACATGTGTCCCCACAGTTGTGATTCTCTTTTCTCTCTTCGTAGTTCCTGACTCAAAAGGGCATGGAAGTGTTATAAATTTTCCTACTTCCAGTTCTTACTCTGTGACCAGCAAAGGAGGGATGGTTGCACTGAAAATTTTCCAGTCTTTCACAACTAACAGGAAAATTGCTTTTCGTGTGTTTTTATTCAAGACTTTTCTTCCAACTCGCCAATCTTTTTAAAGAATATTGTAAGGCCCTGGAGACTGGTCATTCATTATTACTTCAGTATGTTCACTTAACAAATTCTCAAAACATGGAGTAAAACGGAGTCTCCAGACAGTGAAGTCATTTAGCGGTGGTTTTGGGGGAAGATCAAGTCACAGGGATGGTAATGGAATACTGGAAACTCGTTCTAAGGAATCTTCAGTAATTCTTTGTGTGACATTTGAATAAGCTGAGTTTGGAGGTTTCTTTCTTTCTTTCTTTTTAGCACTTTCTCTGTTAATGTGTATCAAACAGTGTTGTCACATTTGCAAATTTTCAATTCAGAGCAGCTAAAGAACGTTCTAGTGTTCATAAAGCTAGATGGAAGCTGTGTCTTCTCAAATACTGTCTACTTAGCTAGCAAAAGAAGCATAGTAATGCCATTGCCTTCCAGATCAGTGATTCGTTCGTTCATTGTAATAACACTTAGAACCTATTTTGTAGTATTCAACAAGACAGAACCAGCTCTGCTATACTAGAACTTACATTCAAATGAATGACAAAGGAATTATCAAGCACTTATTAATGGCCTGGCCGGGGAGCACTTTGGAAGGGTATACCTTCTAAATCTTTGGGAAGGTAAAGACTTGGCCACAGCAGACGTATACAGATCAGTAAGAGAAATCAAATATAATAAGCAGGCACAGCACACAGTCTAAAACCAGAATGGAAGAACAGGAGAACTGTTGGTTGAAGTAGTACAGACCACTGTAACTTAAAAACTGGGAAGAGAGGAACTCTCTTGATACTTATTTTTTCTCATCAGTTTTCCCCTGGAAAAGTCATAAAAATGTAAGATTATGATATTCATCAGTCATTTCTTCTTAAACAGGCAGCTACTTGGCATAGCCAAAAAAGTAGAATAAAATTAATATTTATAAAATGCTATCTTGGGTATGTGATTATGCAAAATTTTTGAATAAATTGGTGGTAGTTTATATTGCTCTGAAACAAGCCCATCTGTTCCATAATTTAGGCTCTGAGGTTTCTTCTGCTTCTAAAACTCTGTTCTTTTCATTGATCATGGTTTTGGGGTAGGAGGAAAGTCATTTATCTTATAAAAACGCAACTTTTGTTTGCTTTGCTACAGAAACTTATTGCAGGCCTCCCTTAGAAGTGAACTGTCAGTCTTATTTTCTGGTATTAAATACTCTGTTACAACAGATAACACTGTTTAGAAGGTTCCCAAGTTTTGGCAAGCATTTATTCTTTTAAGCAGTACACTATTTAACATAGTTCTGTTACCACTGAAATTTTTGGTCTGTTTCATGAATTTTGTTGTTTCACAATTTCATTTATTTTATGGGTATTATATTATCTCCTAGGTGCCAGGCACTGGGGTTATGGGCACACAAGGTAGAGTCCTAACTGAGTTTATTTTGGCATGTATAGTGAACACAATGATAGCATTTGCATTCCTGCTAATTCTATTTATGAGTGCCAGTTCAAACATTTTCCTGAGTTCATTAGAAATGCTTTTTAAAAAGTAGTCATTCAGTAAATAAAAGCTAATAACAATATACTGTGAATTCAGTGGTGATTGGCAAGTAGAAGGTTTTTCTGGTGGGTCTGTAAGCATATTCTTTGGGATCTGTGGTTAGGTATTGATAACTCAAGAGATAATATGTACCCAGCATAGTATCAGAATTTTAGTTACCTTTTTGCCTTTAGTTGGTTTCTCTGCATCACAGTCCATGGAGTTGTAATAAAGGGAGAAACAGGAAATCTCATCTGTCCAAATGAAACTGTAGGACAATTGAGTTGGATTGAAGAATTGTTTTATTTGGTAATTGAGAGTGGTAAGTATAGATTTTCTTCTAAGAGAACTTAGGGTATGAAAATTAGAATTTTTTTTTACACTAGTCTTCTGTTTCTTGAGTAGGTTAAAATCGAAAGCCAAAGTAACCTGTTGTTAGAGGAACCTGGTTTATTTTAGTGGTATGTGGTATGCTAACCAATATATTTTAAAGCCTTAGTAGTTAAACTTGTCAACATCCTGTAATGGGTTGTTTTTCTTCCTCTTTCTTTCCCCTTCTTTCTTGCTATATTTTACCACAAATATGATCTTAAAGTGGATAGGATCTGCAGCTGACAAAATGGGCTATTTACATAAAAGGAGCATACAGGTAGATTCAGAGGGTTAGTGCTATAGTCAGTGTGGCTTTTGACTTATATTATAGCTTCTTTTTGTTGACTGTAGATTCTCTAGTTGTCTGCTTTTTATGGATACAGTATTTCTAATTTTGCAGTAAGCATGTATCAGTAATAAAGATCAGTGTTTCTCTATGTAAGGGTGCCACAACCTGCTGAGAAGCTTTTAAGCCCACTTTTGAACTAAGAGAATTTTTGGTTCCTGTACATAGCACGTAGTCTAGCTTACAGTGAAACTTGCCTCTGTTTTTGTTTAGATAACTACTTCATGTATTTTGTTGAGTAATATTCATCTAATTTTATAACTTGGGGAGACATTTAGGATTATTTGTAATTATGATGATAATAAACCATGAAGGGTCTATGCTTGGCATGATGTTAGGATAGTGTTTGGTACTGTTGCTGTTAACAGTCTTCCTGAGGGCACAGGACTTAGCAGCCTCGAGTATTGCTAGGTTTCCTAAATTAGTGATTCGTCACTTCATGAGCTGGACATTTTTAATGACTGTTATAAGATGAGAGTGGCCACTTTTTTTTTTTTTTTTTCAGTGCTTGGTTTAGGAAGATAATGTGATTATGACATAAATATGCACTTTGATCTAGAGCTGATTTGTCAGTGCAGAACGGTTCTAGTTTGACTATAAGATTTTCATATTTACTCCAAAGAGGATATTTTTAAATATTTTAATTTTTATTAAGCCATAGTTTGGATTTTAATAAGTCTAAGGAGTTGTTTTTTGAGCAATGTCCAAGTGAAGGGTAAAGCATACTCTGCCTTTTCATAATGAAATAGAAAAGATAATTTAATATTTTAAATATTCTTTCTTTTGTAGAGAATATGAGATTAGTGTCACTAGTTTTTATTTTGTTTACCTGTCAGACAGTATAGAATTGTCCTCTTTCTCTGGAGTTCAGGACTGTACTGCTTCTTTTTTGTCAGATTGCCTGATTTGGAGAACCTGTTGAGTTATATGTCATCCCTGACTAGGAACTTGGGAATTGGGTATACCTTTGAAAATGGATTCACATGTGCAGCCTGCCCATACTTTATATTATAGAATGGACTGTGGACTGATTTCTCAGAAGAGCATGAGAAAGGAAAACACGATACTTTTAATCTCTTCTTCTTATCATTTGCTATAGCATATAATTAACACTTGGTGCTTTTATGTTTGGTGCATGTTCTTTTATATGCAGATTGTTTTCAGCTTGATACCATTTTTTTTTTAAAGATTTTATTTATTTATTTATTTGACAGAGATCACAAGTAGGCAGAGAAGCAGGCAGAGCAAAAGGGGGAAGCAGGCTCCCTGCTGAGCAAAGAGCCTGATGCGGGGCTCGATCCCAGGACCCTGAGATCATGACCTGAGCCAAAGGCAGAGGCTTTAACCCACTGAGCCACCCAGGCACCTGATACCATTCTTCATTCTGGAAAAATACTGAAGATACTTACACAGACTCTTACTTAAACAATTGATGTATTCAACAAAGATAGGAATGTATGTAGCAGACTCTCTTCCCATTGAGTTTCATGGTAGTACTTGGAGAGGTTTTCATTAAGAAAGAAAGTTCTCTTAAGAAACACATTTTTGAGTGGTGTCTGAGTGGTTCAGTCAGTTAAGCATCTGACTCTTGATTTCAGCTCAGGTCTTAATCTCAGGGTTGGGAGATTGAGCATCCCCATCCAGCTCCATGC